CTGCAGCTGCCCCGGGAGCGGCGTGATGCCACATCGGTACAATCGAGGGGTCAGCACAATTGAGGTCTTGGAACATATCCCTACTTGTTACGTTGTAAAGTGGGTTCCCTTTATGCCAATTTGAGTTATGCAGGAACGCATGTACAGCATAAAGCGAGGGACGCCTGTAGTGACCAGCTGGCACCATGCCCTCGGCTTCCCTCTGGCTCTCAGGGTGCCCACTCTTTGTTGCCTGAGCGAGAACTTCCCCTTTGCAGAAAGCCCTTGGCTGCGCCATGTTCCTGGCAGTGGATGCTGCTGTCACCGAGCGGTTTCCTTGTAGAGAGGAGCGGGTAGAGAATCTGTGTCGGAAGGATGCTTGCAGACTTTGGACACCTCTGCGGACTTTGTATGCATTCTTATTTTCCTTGCGGTGGGTCTGGTTAAGTCACTGCCTGCCCTGCTGCGGAGCTCGCCCTTGCCTCCCCTCCTCCTGCAGCCAGTGATAGCCAGGTAGGTCCTTGTCTGTCCTGTCCCTGGGGGCTGCTTGGTGCCCATTAATCTCTTCCAGCGGAAAGCTGGGGCTTCCCTTTCAGGGGAGTGAGCACAGCTCTGTTGCTGCGGCTTTCCTGTGCAGGTGAATTCCCTGCTGGGGAGAAGGGGGCTTGTTCTTGGAGCGGCGTGCGCGCTCCTGCTAAAAAACAAAGGAGCACAGAAGACGAGGCGGGCAGGATGAGCCGAACTGTAGAGGCCTCCAGTGTTGGTTGCTTGGTGCAGCTCTGTTGCATTGACTGGGCCTTGAAATCCTTTGCAGAAGGGACTTGGGCAAAATCGGTGTGGGTGGCTAATGATCTGCAGGTTGATTTGCCTCCCCCGAACCTGGCCAGAGCGCCTGTGAGGCTCAGGAAGGACAGCACTCAGTAGTAGGCAGGGTCCCAGAAGCTCACGTATCACCAGCTCCATTTCTTAGCGTGGCGGGCACAGCAGCCCCTTTGCTGTTCCAAGGGGATGCTGCGGGTCAAGTTGAAGCTGAAGCCTTACTTGGACACCCGAATGCCAGCTGTGTTTCCTGTCCCAGAGGCTGCCAGGGCTGGCCGGCTCCTGCCTGCTCTTCCAAAGACGGGTTTCCACGATATCCCCCGCAGCGGGGGGAGGTTCACATGAATCCGGAACGGATCCGCAGCTGCTGCAGAAGCTCGTTCCAAGAGTTGGGAGCGAGTGTGCCAGGGCTGAGGAGCACATGGGGGAAAGTTAGCTGCAGATAATCACTCCCTCCCTCGCTCCCATTGTCTGTGCCTCACGTGGCCAGGCCCTGGCACTGCTCACGGCTGTCGCAGGCTCTGTAGGTGTCCTTCTTTGTCTGTGTTGTGGTTGGAACCAGGCTAGCAACAGCCACGTTCAATGGCACTCGGAGCCTGGCTTCTTTGCCCAAGGGTGGTGGTCTGAAACCCAGGCTAGCCAAGTCCCTTCAAGGCCCTGTCTGCCCTATCCAGACAATGAACGACAGCCGCTGAACTCTTTTTTGCAGCTAGAGGTGGTCAGAATATGTTTTCACCGGGGCATTTTCCTTTAAAACTGCTGCTCTGTCAAAACCGAATAGTTTTGTGCAGATGTGTTGATGTTGGCGAAGTGCGTGTTGAAGAGGTTTCTTTATGCCTCTCGGGTCAGAGGGTGCTCAAAAGCCTGACCTCCTCCCTCGATCTGAACATGGTCGTTTCAACACGGTTTGGTTTTGTGAGCGTATTTGAAAGGTTTCTGCTCTCCTTCCCCTGCAGAAAGAAATGGGATCGCTGTACCCAGCCACCTCCTGCTGCAGCTCAGTCGGACTCTGAGATGGTTTGCTCTGGCATTATGTGCCCACTTCCAAAATCGATTAACCCCACTCACAGACTGCCAGCGGCATCTTGGTCATTGCCTGCACTGGGTCACGACTAGCACAATTTCAAACACGGGCCAGCTGGATTTAACCCTTGTGTGCCCATGACCCTGCACACTTCTGCTCTTCACTACTTGCTCTGCACTGTATCACAAGGTTCCTGCATGGAAATGACTCTGCCAGAAAGGCAGTTTTCTGCGGCCAGCCTTCAGTTGGCTTCAGTCCCTGGGCTGCGTTTGCAGAACGGTGTGGTTTTGAGCCTTTAGATGGTAGCTAGCGGCAGCGAGTCTGGGGCTTGGAGCGAAGGAAAGAGGCTTCATGCATGGAGTAGCCTGCCAGGGGCTCTGGGGTGCGTGTGTCCAGCCATGGTCGGGACAGTAAGCGTGCTCCCCCGGCGCTTGCTGGGAGAATGATCCTGTTGGCTTTCTGGTGCCCTCTTTTCTTGTTCGTCCAGTTCTTGAGCTGCTGGCGACAATACAGTGCCGCTACTCGGTCTCCATTTAAAATGAATCGTTACGTTGCCATTCTGAATGCGGCTCAGCTCCACTCCACCTCTGGCAGCAGGGTGCATTTTCATGGGGTTTCCAGGTCGCCCTTTGTGAGTTGAGGCTGGCTCCCCTTCTGTTAGAGGCAGCGAGGGGCAGGAGGAGGGGGGTTTATTGAGAAGCTCAGCGGCTGAAAACAGGTGGGGGGCTTGGAGCTTGTGGTGCAGAACAAGCCAGACCCTGTCTCTTGTGCTCGTGGCCCAGGGTCAGTCGCTCAGTCTCCTCAAACATTGCTCCTGTGCACTGGACATGCGTGCCGTTGGATTCCCCACCTGCTTATTTTCCTGGACAGCTCTACAGTTGGCCTCCCCTGTGGATCTGAGTCCAGTTCCCCAGAGGTCGGACACTCATCACGACTGTGATGCTAATTTTGGAGCCAGGAGAGGGCTGTTCCTAAGCAGCGGAGGCCTAGGACTAGGACAAGGACCACTGTATTAGCAGCAGGAAACAAGTCAGCAGCCCCAGGAGGCTGATAGGAGCCGGTCCGTTGGATCTGCATTGCTACAACCCAGAGCCCCGCTGTGTACCAGAGCTTGCCGTGGTGTTCCTCAGCCAGGAAGGCAGGGCAGTGTGAAGAGGAGCCTCTGGATGGGCAGACCTGCTGTGTCCCACGGCTCTTTCGCATCGCCGACCAGCTTGACTTCTATCCTTCCCACAGAGATCATCGAGGCCACATGTGAAGCGATGTAGAGGACCTGGGGCGATCCCCTTGGGTTCTCCGAGGCCACCGTGACTGATGGTAGCTGGAAGCCTCCCATGCGGCTGTTGGGGAAGGTTTGTCAGACCCATGCTGGAACTGACGGGCTGTTTGAGCCTGCACCGGGGATACCTCTGGAAGGGTGAGAATTGGTTTTATCCTGCCTCCCTTGCCCTTGGTTTAACTTTGGTTGTGTCCTGTGTCAAGGTCCATGAGAACAGACCAACACGCTGGTCCAGGACGGTGGCTTTTACCTGCTTAGCGGCCACTGCGGCACAGCCCGTCTGGGCTGCTTTTGGTGTGCCGAACGCTGCGGAAGGCCACGAGGTAGCAAACTGCCCGGGTGCTCTCTGGATGCAGTTTTGGGCTGCAGGGAGGCCGATGCCGCGCGGTGACAACCCGGCCCTGTTTGTTTGGTGCTTCCTGTTGATTTCCTCCTCGGCCCGGCCTGCGTTCTGTTATTTGGAGCCCGTTCTCATGACCTTTGCTCCGTGCACGGAGGTTTTCCAAAGTGCTGGGGGTGTGGTCCTGCTCAGCTGCGTTATCGTGTGATCCCAGCCCCACCACCTCAGGTCTGTTGGGACGACGTGCACATGAGAGCGGACTTGAGAGACGGATTTAAAATGAGCCTAACCCGCCCCCTCCCCCCAATTGCTGTATTTTGGGGGCACCTGGTCTGAATTTGGGGGTGCAGGATTCTATAAGATGGTGCGGGCAAAATCTATAGGGCCCTCTGAATACATCCACAGGAAAGATCTTTGTTATTCCTATTTATATAGGGGCCCAGGCTTGCTCAAAACTGCATGCCGTCCCTGTCCCGTGGGACTCGTGGACCTTTGGTGACTCCGAGATGAAGTATCAACATTTCCCTGAGCAGCTGCTCTGAAGCTCTTGGTCTGGTTTCTGTCTTCCACGTCTCCAGCCCTGTGCTGTTATGGATGCAGTGCTTACAGAGGCCCAGGAGCAGAGCTGTTCTGGCCTCGGCAGGCGCAGTTGGAGCTCTGCCCTGCAAGCAATGAGGTTCAAAGTCAGCACGGGTGGGATTTTTCAATCAGTTATTTGAATGGAAAACATGCACTGGGCCTCTCCCAATCTCTGCTTGGAAGCAGTTGGTGCATCGTTTGGAGGGCGTGTTATGCCCACGGTGGAGCTGGATCTCCCCTCTCTGACCCCTGCCTCGCTGGCGGAGCTTTACCTCTTAGGTGACCCAACGAGTGAAGGCTCATCTGCCCCTCAAAGGTACCGTCACGCCCAGCATCTGTGTTGTCAGCCCTGGTGTTTCAGACGCCGAGCTGCACCGAAGCCTTGCATCTGTGCAAAGCGATGAGCTTTCTCAAGTCTCCTGGAGCGGGGACTCTGGGTTTCCCCCTACAGAGCAGCTTCTCCCAGGAGCTAGGGGCAGGCCTGGGTGGCGAAAGCCTTTCCTTTCTGGCATCTGGTCCTGTTCCTGGGGTGCGGAGAGGAGTGGCTTTGCTGGCTAACCTCCCTGCTTGCTGGCAGCTGTCTCGGTGACACATGGGCAGCGCGGGGTGTGACTAATGCAGGCCGTTTGGGCTCCCTGCTCCCTAATGCCCAGCAGCTGCTGCCGGGCACTGTCTGAGTCTGGGCTGTGAGGGTCACCTAAGCAGGACTGGGCTGTGGGAGCTGCGCTCTGGACAGGGTTAAGCTGGTGGGAAGCATGAGGTTAAAGCACAGACCTGGGCATTGGAGGACTCAGATTTTATTCTCAGTGCTGCCACTGATTTCGTCTGACCATGGGTGACGGCACTTCCCTCTGTGCCTCTGCAATCCGGGGGCGATGCTGACCGACTGTGTGGGGAGGCGGGGGGTCAGTGTTTGGCAAGGATTTAGCTGCTGTTTTCTAGGGAAATGCTATTCCAGCCTCCTAGTGTTGGATTCCAGAGGGATTTATTGTGCAGACAGTATTCCTTCTGGGTTACTGCTAACAGGGATGTCCTAAGGACTCTGCTAGGATTTTGTGGGCTGCTTTCCTAAGCCGGCTTCACAATGACATATTAGCTGTGAACCCAGCTGCTGCAAGACGCTCCAGCACCGGGCGCTGAAGAAGGGGGTAGGAGTTAAATGGGGAATGAGGTCCTCTGAGCTTTATCTTCACTAGGAAAAGGTGGAGTTTACTGCTAGCGTTTATCCTGATGCGATTGCCAGGGCTGCGCTTCCCTGGAGGGTTTTGCTGTGTTAGGTACTTTGATAGGTGAGGTGTCATTAATTCATTAAAGAAACAGCGACAATGCGACACCTCGTTTTCCTAGTCTCAGTGCAGGCTGCAGCCAGATTTGCGGGGGCTAGCAGCAGGGCCGGTCCCTGCTATGCTGCTTCTAGCGCGTTGTCCTGGCACGGGCTTTGACTGCTTTAAGCAGTTTGGCTCTCGGGCCTTTTCTAGGAAAAGACTTTCTAGAAATCCGCAGGCAGGGCTCTTTCCTGTCGCTGAGCTTTCGCTGGCGGCCCACATTGTGCTTTCTGGTAACCGTATCCTCTCCCTCCTCCTGAGACTCCAGCCTCTCCCCTTTGGTTTTTAGGAGGTCTCTGTCTATGTGGGGTATCATGGTGTGATAGAGAAGCAGGGCCTCCAGAGGTCATCTATTCGAGTCCAGCCCCCTGCCTGAGGCAGGATTAGCCCTATCCAAACCATCCCAGACAATCCATAATCTAAACTCTTCGTAAGACTACCATCAACTCCGACACAAGACGAGACGTGACACCCAAACCTGCCGCAGGTAAAGCAGCCAATGACCCGCTTCTACACGGGGTTGTTAATAAATGCAGTTTTCGGCTTCATGTTTTTAAGAGGGGCATGGAGAAGTTAGAGAGCGTCCAGAAACAGGCGACAAGGATGATCAACGGCTTGGAAGGCAAGTCGTACGAGGGAGGCTGAAGGAGTTAGGCATGTCCAGCTTGCAGAAAAGGTCCTTAAGAGAAGTCCCGATTGCAGTCTTCAGATACCCGACAGGCTGCCATAAAGACGAGGGAAAGCACCTTTGCTCTCTTGCTGCAGCGTGGAGTAGCTCAAACTGACCCACGCTCCAGCAAACCATACTGCTTGCTCCTGGGGCATCTCGCACCCCTTAGAGGGGAGCATCTCGCACGCCTAGTGTGCAGTGATTCCCAGAGGCCGGTCCAGAGCAGCCAAGTGTGTCGTCAGTGCATTCTGCCACAGTTAAGTAGCCTGTTGGGATGTGCAAAATGTCGCAATAAGCAGGAACCCATGGCCTGATGAGGTCAGCGCTTTGAGCCTGCAGGGAAGGGTGGTAGTCGCTAGTCAGGAAGCATTTATTGACTCGCCTGTGCATTCCCTTGCTTTGTAACAGGGGCCTCTCCACTCCCCCAGGGGCTGTCCCCATTGATGTAGAGACCAGACTTTTAGAATATAGGCCTATTTTCCCTGAAGCGGTGATGATGAGCTATACAGACCCCACCCTAGTTATCACAGGGTTAATGAGCTGTTATGGGCTTAATTGGCCCAACCCTGTTATGCCTGTGATGCATGGAAGGTGAAGCCTAAAAGAGGAAAAAAAACAGCCTGGTTCAGAGGAGAGAAGGGAGCACCTTGCAGTTCTTGGCCCAGATCTGGGAAGGGCTGGCCCAAGACTACGACTTCGGGACTATTGGTAAGGATTTGCCCATGGGCCTCCTCTCCCAACAGAGAGCCGTAGTTCATTGTATTTTGAGTTCTTGGTGATTGTCGATAACCCAATTTCTGTGGATTTGGCCAGAGGGCTGAGTCTCCTGAAATGGGACCTACCTGCTAGTTATGGAGGGAGGCGGATTGACTGCGATGCGCACCTTGATTCTCACCCGAGGAAAAGCGTGTGTGTGCTGTGTCCACTTGGGTTGCCTTTCCCACGTGGATGGCTCTTGCCGGGGCCCTTGGGAATCTCCGGGCTCCCTCGGCTGACATCTTCCTGTGGCCAGTGCCTAGGCACCGCTTCATATTGGGAAATTGCTTGTTGCATATGTGTGCTTGCAGGTTCACCGGGTGCAGAGCTTTCTGCTTCTGGGTGAGGTGGGTACAGCGATCACAGGCCTGTCTTGCTGTCCTGAGAGACAAATGCATCTCCTGGGCTTTCAGTGCATTGTACTGTCTCTAAATGCTCCTGGTGACTCTTAACGCAAGGGGGGCTTTCTGCATGAATACTGACTGTATCATTGCTGCAATAGGTCAGCACTAGATCTCTGAACCTGTGGTGAAAAAGGCTTTAATGTTCTTGCAACTACTTTCCACCCCACTCCCAGAATTGTTTGTTCCTACGGGAGATGCAGCTTCTCTTTCTCTCGGGCCAGAACATCTTACCCAACAGTGTGCCCTTGTTGCAAACCACCACCACCTCCCCCCAAAAAACAAAACCCAACCAAGTGGCATCCTTGGTTGTACTGTATTCACAGGGGATGCCTCTTGCAAATCTAGGGAAGCGGTTCTTCCTCTCCATTCGGCCCTGGTGAGGCCTCACTGGTGCGTTGTGTCCAGTTTTGGGTCCTGCACTTCAAGAAAGATGTGGGCAGGTTGAAGTGTCCAGTGGAGTGACAGAAGTGATCCGAGGCCTGGGAAGCATGACTTCTGGGGAAACGTTGAAAGAATGATTTAGTCTGGAGAAGAGAAGAGGGGAGATTTGATAACAGTTTTCAGATCCCTGAAGGGTGGTTACAAAGAGGAAGAAGATGGACGTTGCTCTACGGCTGTAGAGAACAGGACTAGGCGTAATGGCCTGAAACTGCAGCAAAGAAATTTTAAGTTGGAGTTTAGGAAGAACTTCCTGGCTATGAGGATGGTCAGGCAATGGTATGCACTACCTAGAGAGGTGACGTAATCTCCATCCCTGGAAATTTTTCAAGAGCAGATTAGACAGGCGCTTGGCTGGGATGGTTTAGTCGGGGATGATTCTGCCTTCGGCTGGGGGATGGACTAGATGTGACTTGGTGAGGTCCCTTCCAGCTCTACTTTTCCTGTGATCCTCAAAGCAAAGGAGACGAAGCGCAGTGACTTTGAGAAGGACGGTCAGAAGCAGCTGCCCCACGCATTTGACCAAGCTGGTGCTGGTTGCTTTGGCCAAGGTCAATGCTGTCCTCAGTCTGTGACCTCACTTGCCAGGTATCTGGTTCAGTCCCAGCACATATTTTTTCTCATTACTCAGTATCAAATCATCTCTTTCTTTGTTCCTCCAGGTTGCCAAGAGCAATGTTCTCTTCCCCTGGTTGGGAGTCTATGCCAGGTCTGCTGCCTACCACATCCCAAGGGCTGGGCAAAGGGTAGGACAAAACCAAGCAAGTTGGATTTTCCTGGAAAACAATCTCTAGGCAGATTGCTCCAAGCTGGCCCAGCTGAAAGGTCAGGTCTGGCATTTGGTGGTTGCATTGTTGAGGCCTGAGCCACTCTGAAGGAGCCGAGGTGGCTGAATTTAGTCTGAATCAGCCTGTTCAATGTCCATGCGCCCTGTGGGTTTCTCATGCCTTCCTCTGTGCAGTCTGTTAGTACCAGCAGGTCCTACCCTCCAGGCCTGCCTATACCTACGCAGGTTTAGCTCTGATTGTCTTGTCCGCCTCCTGGTGTCTTGCTGCTCTATGCTAAGTTCTTTCCCTTTTGCCGGCACTTTTCTATTAATGAGGTGAGTCTCCTTTCCAGGTGTGCTGGTCCCAAGGGCTAGAGCTGGGGAGGGAGGAGGTGGCCAGCACTTGCTTCAGCTGTGTTTGGAAATCATTCTGAGCTGGCCTGCAAGCTGTCTCCTCTCCTGCATTTGAGGCCTGCAGGGAGATGGTCTAATGCTGTCCCCTTCTCACAAGGGAGTGACAACATGGAGGTCAGAAGTCAGGATGCTTCAGCTGTTTCTTGCACCATCTCCTCCAGTGTCCAGGTAGTTCACATTTACTGTGGTGGGATCCTTCTCGTTGTCTGGCCCAAATACTTTCTGGCGTTTCCTGTAAGGAGAGTGATACGGCGCTTTCTTGATTTTTTCTTTTCCCTGTTGGCTTTGCAGATGAGGGGCCAGTGCTGCTCAGGAGAGGCAGTGCTGTTGATGACCTAAAGGGCCATCTAGAGATTGAACGTATCGAGAAAAGGGTGCAGGACCTGGCCTCTTCCCAAAGCTCCTGCTCTCGGCCCTTGTGAAGCCTTTCATGGCCAGGTAAAGCAGGCTGTCTCCAGGAGAGTAACCACTGAGCCTGAGAAGGGAGCTTTTGGCATTTACTCCCAAAGAAGAACCTAAGTTGGCAGCTGCCTCACCTGTGAC